GATGATGAAATGGCAACCGCCCGTGGCCTGGACAAATCGTAGTTAACGAAGCACGAAATATGTGGTCATTCCCATGAATGAGTACATCAGGATGTGGTAAAACATGAATCAAATGTTTCATGTTGAGTGTATTGTCGACACATACCGGAAATCCATGGCGGTGTGGAGACGATCGATGTAAGGAGATGTGGACCGCAAGGAGTCCCGTATTTTTTCCATAACGTCCTTGTCGAGATGGTCGGGAACGTAGTTGGGATCATGCAGAAGCCACTGGACGTTGGAGTGCTGGCCATCTCTGACGGAATGGTATGTTCTGGAGGAAGTTTTGGTGTAAGGAAGGACATTGTGGAACATGTACAGAATGAATATTTTACTTCCATTGCGTCCATAGATTCAACAGGTCAGCGCCGAGGTAAGGGTTATTTGTAGTGATTCGGCACGGACGAAAAAAACCCTCTCACAATATGAAATATTATCCAAACTACTATCCAAGAAGACATGATGAATCTCTGTGTTTACAATGATCTACATAGTGAAACCCGAAGGAATCATACTAATCTCCTTGCTCACCTTCCTTGGACGGACAAAAGGTGGAACATGTACAGAATGAATGCTTTACCTCCATTACACACACACATAGAATCAACAGGTCAGCGTCAAGGTAAACGCCTCACATAATATGAAATATTATTCTAAACTTCTGCCTAAGAGGACATGTTCTTAGTGTTTACAACGATCTACACAATGAAAGCCGCAGACAGCATACAAATTTACTTGTTCACCTTCCTTGGACGGACAAAAGGTGGTCGCCAAACATCTTCTTCAGTTCTTCACCGTCCTCGACATTGAGCGAGGCGAAATTGCACCGGCAATTGTACATCCTGGCTTCTTTGCGGAACTTCTGAGCCGAAGGTTCAGGAGACTGGGGAGTACGAATTTTCCGTTCTTGCAACAAATTCCCTTCGATTCTTTGGCAACAGTTTCGCACCGCAATGGACGCAAGAATCAGTCATCATCTGGATGTTGACTCCCATGTCTCTTCGCGCTTCCTCCAAGGCA